CCCAGTGACTTGGCCAGTAAACTCAGCCACTTCCTCATGGTCTCATGTGAATTCCACGACGACTTCAACCGCCAGCAGACCATGTTAGCAGGCAATTTGCTGGCGACAGTGTCCAACAAAGCCTTGCTTACTTGACGCTCATTTCCCAGAACGACTTGAGGGAGTTGCCCTTGGACTCCAACGTCGTGAGTTACGCAGGCGAAATACGACATGCAGGTACGACGATCACCCAAGGTTGCACGGTCCACTGCTTTCTGCTGAGAAGCAGAGAACTTGGCCACGTAACCACGGATACCTGTGGGATGCCGCACAAGCGCGGTCTCATCCATGTTGATGAAAAGGGGAGGTCTGTCTGCAGAAGCTTCCCTGGAAGCAAGATTCACCCAACGAAAAAATGCGGCTGCCTGTACCAAAGGAAGGGGCTGAGAACGGGGCCGCAGAACGGACCCAAAAGCAGGGCTACCGTGTTTCCTTTTCAAAAAGGAAGGTGAAAAAAACGATGCCACTATTTGGACCCAGATTCGGGGCCGCAGAAAGCGGACCAGAAGTCTTTTTTGACAACCGCAACAAAAAACATGACGCACTGAAAGGCTTTGAAACCACAAAAAAGTTGGCCAACCCTACCGGCCTTAGATCTTCGCTCCTCCACTGGTACATAATCTTGCGGTCGTAGAACACCAAAGCTACAGCCCCATCGCCTTCGAAACCTGGCCAACCACTTCCGCTGCTTCCTTGGAGCGCCAAAGGCCAAGCTGCGCAAACGTTTTCGAATTTTCGGAGGGGCTTCCGCAGCAATGTGCATTGGGATCTGCGCTAGCACTTGTTCCCGAGATGGCGCAACAGAATGCTCTACGTTTTGGACAGCAATCCAGGCCGCCAGCCGGTGTTCCATCACGTACTTGTGAGCGCACAACAATTCATCAAATTCAAAATGACTGAACGGGTCTTTTGCCAACGCAGCCACAGCCGACACAGGCGCGCGCGCGTAAGCCTCCTCAATGTCTGCTAACAAATGTTTTCTGTCGCTGCATTGCTCAAACCTGCGCCGGCCTCTCCTCTGCCACCTGTGCCCCCACCCACGACCCAGAACAAAATCGGCTGCAACTCCAGCCAAGCGCCCTGCCAAGATGTAAACCATTACACAAACAAAATTGTCAGGCCTGCACCGAGACACCACAGGAGCAGGCCGCGGCACAGCCGCAGCTTTGGCCCTCTTGTATTTCTTGCTAGCAGCGTCAATGCGCTTGTTCAACTCCGAGAAGTCTTGCCGGGTCCACATCAGCTGCTGCAATTGGCTCTTTCATGGGGGAAAATGTCGTCCCTTGCACATGTGGAATCCCTTGTCTTTTGAAGCACATTCTTTTTTCTGAACCCCGTTGCACAGCCCAACATGAAAGACTCAGTAAGTCGTTTCAGGGTGGGAACCAAAGCCTTGCCACATGTGTGTTTGGCACTGATGCGCTTGGATGATTGTTGTTGAGCAACTGAAGCCAGCAACAAAACTGGTTGAGAACTCTTGCTTTCAAAAGAACAGAAGCTACTCACAGCAGTGCTCCCCAGTGAGCAAGAGCTTGCTAAACTGAGGAGGCCCCACCTAGAGTGTCCAGTTTTCCTGCGTCAGCAAAAGCCCCGAAACCAAGTCCGTAACTTTGCCTCTGGATCACTGGCCCAGCAACCCCATCATACTTTTCTGATCGCCTTCAAAAATCGCAGGAGCGTGTCTCCAAACTGAGCAGCTGCCCTGAGGATACCTAGTCTTCCTCACCATCACCATCAGCAGCACCGCCTCCAATGAGAACTGATTTAGAGCAAACTTCGGCCATGAGCAACACACTCAAAACCACATCCACCCGCGCGCCTTCGCCGCGATCACTCTCAGATGAAATGGCATCAGCCTCCTCCACATCATTCGCACCTGGTCTGCCAAGAGCTCCACACACGCAGAAAGCAAACAAACAGTCTAGACCTTCCCCTGCAACGCCAGCTGCAGCGCCAGCTGGCAGATTTGGAGGGGGAGCACCATGACCTGTGAAAGTGACACGCGCATAAACAGCCACAATTCCGGGGATCTTTTCACGCAAAAGACTTTCCGCGCCATCTCCACCACCAGCTGCTACCACCGCAGCTCCACCACCTCCGAGAGTGACACGCGCATAGACAGCCACAATTCCGGGGATCTTTTCACACAGAAGACTTTCCGCGCCATCTCCACCACCAGCTGCGACCACTGCAGCTCCACCACCTCCGGACGCAAATGCCCCATGAGTGAATGCTGGGCCGTCCATCGGGCACCTGGCCTCCTGCTCCCGCTTGGTGCACCAGGAGTAACAGGTCGTCACGGCTGAGTTGCCGGGCAGCCTAGTGCGAAACAGCAGCAACTGTATTCAAATTTCGAAGATGTCCAAGGCGGGCACGTCGTTTTTTCATATTCTTCTCCTGCTTTGCCAATGCACGGTTGGCCGCGCGCATCGCGGCCCGTCGTTGCTTCAAGTCATTCAACTCCTCCGCGAGGACCTCACCAAGGAACCAACATTTTGCGCAACAAGAAGACACCCCACACAAAGCTTAGACCGCCTCCACGCGATTCCTCTTTGGAGGCATGTCCTGATTACAAACGGAAACGGCACGCGCGTTTCAATTGCTTGGCGTTACAGTCCGGCCTCTGCGCGCGTTCCCACAAAGAAACCGTTTTGAACACACAGAGCTGTGGACAGGCGTGCATGCACTTCTCACTGTGAGGCCTAACCTAATTACTCGGCTGCGCTGTGGGCACCCACATCAACATTGAAATGGGGAAGGGAATGGGCAGGGCGGTGTAGCATTCTTGTAGAGAAGCGCACCGCTGCACAAATCAAGAGTGTACCCAACACAAATCACGAAGAGTGCCTGTGCACTGTACCCAACACAAATCAAGAAGAGTCCCTGTGCACAAATTGAGAAGTGTACCTGTGCACAAATCGAGAAGCGCACGGCTGCACAAATCAAGAGTGTACCATCCACAAATCAAGAAGTGTATCACTGGCAACAAAAATCGAACGCCAAATAGCCGCAAAAACTGTCAAGGTGTGAGCCGCTGATTGCGGAATGGTCCGGTTCGACTGTGGTCACTGAGTTTGACATGGTCAACTTCGAACCTGGGTCTCTGTGTTCTGGATGCCGCAGTTCGCCAAATACCGCGGTCAAGTTGGGCTGCGGTCACTGAATTCGAGGTCAAGTTCCAGTGCGGGTCTCCAAATTCAGGATGGCGCGGTTCGCAAAAGATATTTGGTCATATATTTGCACACTAACATGTTCATACTCTATATGTTTGATTCACGGTTTATGTGACCAAATGTCAAAAAAGTCAGAGGGCAAGATAGCCACGTGAAAGGACAATGTGGCTCACCTTCTCCAGGACGACCAAACGGTCGCACGCAGGATGTTCTGAACAAAAATGACCAATGTGGACACTGAGTTGGAGACGGTCACGTTTGCACACCAAACTGCAAATCTTAGAGGCGCCTAAAACAGGTGTAAGGCGCATAACTATGTGCGTGAACAGCGACACACCATGTCAAAACATGGAGGAACAGCAGTTTGGCTTGCTAACACCCACAAACAGAAACACATTCGTAAAGTTGCGTCCGCCCTTTCAATGGAAGCCTGGGCTCCCCTCTCAAGCAAATGCCTATGCCTACGCGGGATGCCTACGCAGGGTACTGTCACCAACTTTAGTCACATCAGGTGACTCGAAAAGAGCTATATAATCCGCAAGTAGTGGCCCGATGCGACTGGGTCACATCAGGTTCCTGTTTATCTTTCCCCAAGACCCTTGAACAACTTTTAAAGAAGTCTGAATAAGAAAATTCAGGCTTTCATGAAAAGGGTGCCTACGCAAGACTGCCTACGCAAATCTTTCAACACCCACCTACGCAAAATGCTTACACGACGCCTACGCCCCAAGCAGAACAGCCTCCGCGACTTCTCAACAGTTCCCTTTTTGTATAAACCTAATCATTTGCAAAAAAACGTGGCTCATATGGCCAAAGACATCCTCATCTTCCGGCTCCTGACAGATGGACTAATTCCATTGAAAGGCCGATTTCAAGTTTCAAGTTTCTGCTGCAAAATTCCATGGAATTAAATCGTAACATGTTCCACACATGGCCGCACCTGCAACATCTCATCGGAAGCTGGCAGTGGCAGCACCGCCGAAGAGGAACTGGTCAAAGAAGCACTGTTCTTACGAAGATCAGAACCGACCTCAACAAACCACATCCTCCGCTCAATCGCCACCAAGTGTTCCTCATGCCGGGCTTCGTCGGGCAGGAACCCACGCTTGTCCCAATTGGTCGTGAAGCACCGCATGCCCGGAGGCAACATACCATCCTCGTGTCGGCAGGACGCAAACCTGCAAACGGTGTTGTCCAGCCAGGACTTGGCGTCATCAACCGAAGCAGATCGGAGGCATACATCGTCAACCAAAAGAGATGTCGTGCTTTGAAACAAACATCGCTTGACCACATCCAGCTTGTCCAAAAAATAGTAAGCACCGTGTTCCGCCAGCAGGGCGGCGCACAGAGCCGTCTTGCCACAGTTCCCAGGCCCACTGAGAACCAGTGTGCGATCCAATCGGTGTTTGTCACGCCATTCCTGGAGACCGGGAGGAATCTCGAAGTCAGCCACGCCGAACTTAGAAGTTGTATGAAGAAGTGTTGGGGGCATCTTCTCCGAATTCCAAGCACGCAGGCACCTGGCCAGAAGCCGCTCTGGATGGATTGCTTGGCCGACAAAATTCCAAAGAAGATCGTGCCCTTTCAGTTTTTGGTCCTTGGCCAACTGAAATAATTGCTGTTCCGTTTCCACCCCAGCTTCTATGACCAGGTCCGTAAACTCCGAAAAGGACAATGACTTCCGACGCTTGGTCGGACGCTTGGAGCACTCTTCCGGTCGCTTGGACGACGCTTGCACAGCAGCTTTGACACCTTCGTTTCCATTTCGATGCAGCTGACTGTTTGAAACTCTGTCCATGATCTCTGCCGCGTGTGATGCTGTGAAACTCTCTGGCCAGAAGTATGGTTCTGGATCGATGTCTGCGCCTATCTTCTTTGCGCTTTCTCGGAGGATGTAGTGCAAATACACGGCAAGGCCACACAAATTGAACGTCCAAAAACCTTTTGCTCCCAGCGCAGACATGTCCTGGTTCACTTTGTAGTGAGCGAACGGCCTCTGGAATTTGACTACCACATGATAGTGTTGCTCTCTACGCTCTGTTTGAGCGTCCCACTTTTTGTGGGGCTCGGATACGATGATCATTTTCTGCCTCGGCTCCACAAGCTTGGCAACAGCGCTTTGCAAGAAACCTTTCCACAAGAAAAACTGGACAATCGCATGTCTTGGAAGAATCTTGTGAGCAAAAAACAAAACTAAATTGCAATCCAGATGCAAGTCACCTAGTAACCCCCGCTTCTGCAGAGCCGAGCGAAACTTCTCAGCCAAAGTCTGCTTATCCCAATCGATTGGCTTTAGAGTGCCCAGCTGAACTCTCATATCGAAAGTTTTCCCGTAGCATCTGGGACACGGCCACGTCCACATGCCCACCATGCCACGTTCCCCCGAACGTGCTGGCGGGGCACTTTCATCAGAGGAAGATCCCTTGGCTTCTATGAGTTCGATAGGCGTCTCATCTTCCGACGAGGAAGATGAGGAAGACGGCATTGCGCAAAATTGTGGTGAATGCTTCTGTGCAAAATGCTTTTGGCCTGGAGAAAACGCAATGTTCAAATTCCGGGCTTTATA